GTCTGAAATGAAATGCTGAGAAGTTCTGGACTTGGGATTCCTACTCCCAGCAGTTGCAGGTGAGATCCATGCTGGCCAGGCCACTGGCCAAGTTCTGAAACCATGGGTTGGGGACTTTCACAGTTTTAGAGCCTGGAAGGTTCCAGGCCTGTGCTTGTCCCCCAACCAGTACACCCCTGCCTGGCTGCCACAGGCACTGTAACCGGAAAAAACACCGGCGTTCGGGCTGCCTGTCACCACCAAATCCAATAAGCAATGACAGCGATTGAATCTTTTGTGGGCACTTTATTCAGATGGCTGGTGACCTGAGAAGATGGTGAGTTCATACCCTAACAAAGCCATCTTCCCCTTTCTTTCCTGGGCAGATCTTTTTATAAGGGGGTGGGGAAGGACAAACAATGTGCGGTGAGGGCTTTGAGATTCAGCAGCTGCAACATTCCTGTCCTGGGCAGTTAGCTGTCTCCAAGGGGGAGGGGTGGTCGCCTGCTTCTTCTTGGTATGGATGTCTCCAGGCGGTAATCTCTAGCCAGTGCCCCAGGAGGTCGGCTGCTTTTCCCAGGAGTCAGGATGGGCCTTATCTGTAGTTTCTGAAACGAAAGCTTAACATACACATTACCTGCTAGATTTGTGGCTATTTACCTTAAGCTAAAATTTTCCAAGTCTTAAGCCCCCTATCAGCACCACTGCAGGTGCCGAGGACGGGAGACCATCTGCACTGTTCTTCGCTGCTCTCTCTCCCTGCAGTGGTCTCCTCCTCCCGCCAGCCTCCTCACAGGGACTGTGAAGCATTGTCACTACAATGCTGGTCACCACTGTTCTGCTGCCACCAAGATGGATAAGACTCACTTTTGTTAACCAAGAGCCACCTCTCTAAGACTCTGTGTCATATGGCACACTATTTCAGAGTATTTTGAGGCAATTTTTCACTGTGAATCATTTCTTTGTAGAGTATCTGCTTAGAAAACACCAGCAGTTTCATTAGAATCAGGCTACAACAGTCTTGAGGGAATACTTGGTAAATCCTTAGGTTCAGAACTGCCTTTTTCCTAGACCTTCCTGATAATCAAAGAATATGCATTAAAACAATAAAATATGATTTTTAGCCTGCCACATTTGGCAGAGACTTTTTAAAACTAATGTTCTGTGCAGGTCAGGGTATGAGAAAATGGACATAATTATTGCTGGAACTGAAAATTGGTGTAACATTTTAGAACACAATTTCACTTTACATACCAAAAGCCATAAAAAATATTTGTATCTTGACTTCTAAATAATGGTAGCCTAAAAACTGGCCTACAAAACCCCTCCTCCCACAAACTAAACAAAAGGCCTTTTAGAATAAGGACAAAGGGCTCATTAGCACCAAAACAGGAGAACTGCCTTCCATAGTTTGGGCTAAATTAAAGGAAGCCAGGAGCCAATTTACAGCTCCTGTCTCAACAGAACAGAGAGTACTGTCATGGAAACATGAAAGGTTTCCAGTTCACCCCCACTCATTTCCCTTAATTTGGAAGAAGATGGCTGGCAGCTTGGGCAAGTTCACTGAAGACAGCCAGCTTTGCAAGACCGCGGCCCTAGACCAGCAGAAAACGTGCATCGCAGTGTCTCAGTGTTTCCCCATGACCTGCTACCTAGAGCCGAGGGTTTGCTTCAGTATCAGGACAGACCCCTTAATTTTCAGGCACTATGTATGCTGGCAAGGACAGGCTGGAAGCCTGGGCCGGGGGGGATGGAAAATGTATAAAATTATTTATAAAATCTAAGTAGATAAAATTACAAAATTCTACTGAGGAACATAAAACATAAATATGTACAGAAACACTTGGCTTGCAACTAAATTTACTAACTTAATTACATTTTAATATAATCCTAATGACTTTCATATAAATCATGGAGGGGAGGAGGCATGACCAAATGATTCTTAAATGTATTCAGATGAAGAAATACCAGAGAACAACCAGAAAGAGTCTCAAAAAGAAGCAACAAATTAGGAATAAATGATTATGGAGCAGTATCTTTCAAATTCTAGGGAAAATAATATTTTCAATCTCAAGTCATAAACCAAGTGTGATAGTACAAAAGACATTTTCATATATGAATGCGTCCAGAAAATGTATCTCTCCAACACACATTCTTAACAAAGAAGCCTATGAACCTACCCCAGTGGAGCAGGGGTGTTATGCAGAAACCAACATGAGGTTCTGAAAAACCCTAGGGCTGAAGGACTTCATAGAACAGTGATAATGGCTGGGTCACCAAGAGGAAAATCCTTGGGAAAAAGGTTTGTAGTGGCACAGCATCTTGACAAACTACAAAGAAGGAAATGTTACTGTAGTGCACTACTTTGTAATTGCTGTTCATTGTTTTCAGTTCAAAATCGTCCTCTTAAGGGAGGACAGAAGACTTAAATGTGGTTATAGAAAAGGAAGTGAGTATTACAGGTTTTAATAATCTAAAAGTAAAACTTGAAAGGTGGAGGAAAGATGAGGGGAACTTCTTCCTTATCATATACAGTGGATTCAGGAAGTACTGTCGATAATTGCTGGAACAAGAAATGGAGATATAGGACTTCCGTCCAAGATGGAGGCATAGGTGGACGCACTGTACCTCCATGCACAACCAACATTGGAACAACAACAATTTAGAGGCAGAATAATACCCAGAAATGATAGAAAATTTATCTGAATGGAAGTCGGACAGCCAAGAAGTTGAAATAGACCTGTTCATCCAGACCGGTAGGAGGGGCAGAGACAAGCAGCCCGGCGCGGGCCGAGGTGAGGAGAGCAGAGAGAGTTGGCCACATAAGGCAATCGGGAGCTTTTAAGGCATCTGGGGCACGCAAGATCACAGCAGGTGGACCCTGAGTACGCAAGCGGCAGCTGGCAGACCCAGTCAGGTGGTGATTGTGGAGCAGGGCAGAGCGCGCAACCCAGGATCCCAGGGAAAGGACTGAGGCCCCACAGGGAATGGAGCTACCACCATTGTTCCCTCTCGACCCCGCCCCCACATACAACATCACAGTCTAGCGACTGGGGTGCCCAGCCCTGGTGAACACCTAAGGCTCCACCCCTCACTGTAACAGGAGTGACCAGACCAAAAAAAAAAAAGGAAAAGAAAAGAGAGAGAGAGATGGCTCAAACAGAAGAACAAATCAATGCCCCAGGACTCATCCTTTTAAGCCACTGAGAAATAGCCAACCTATCAGATGCACAGTTCAAAACACTGGTGATCAGGAAGCTCACAGAATTGGTTGATTTTGGTCGCAAATTAGATGAACAAATGCAGGTTACCATAAAAGAAATGAAGGAAAATGCACAGGGAACCAATAGTGATGGGAAGGAAACTGGAACTCAAAACAATAGAGTGGACCAAAAGGAAAAAAGAAACAACCAAAGAGGAAAGAATGGAGAAATAAGAATTCAAAAAAAGGACAGGCTTGGGAACCTCCAGGACATCTTTAAACAATCCAACATCCAAATTATAGGGGTACCAGAAGGGGAAGAAGCAGAGCAACAGATTGAAAACATATTTGAACAAATAATAAAGGAGAACTTCCCCATTCTGGCAAAGGAAATAGACTTCCAGGAAGTCCAGGAAGCTGAGAGAGTCCCAAAGAAGTTGGACCCAAGAAGAAACACACCAAGGCACATCATAATTACATTAGCCAAGGTAAAAATGAAGGAGAGAATCCTAGAAGCAGCAAGAGATAAGGGGACAGTCACCTACAAAGGAGTTCCCATCAGACTGTCAGCAGATTTCTCAAAAGAGACCTTACAGGCAAGAAGGGGCTGGAAAGAAGTATTCCAAGTCATGAAAGACAAGGACCTATATCCCAGATTACTCTATCCAGCAAAGCTTTCATTTAGAATGGAAAGGCAGATAAAGTGCTTCTCAGATAAGGTCAAGTTAAAGGAGTTCATCATCACCAAGCCCTTATTTTATGAAATGTTAAAGGGACTTATCTAAGAAAAGAAGATTAAAAAACAAACAAACAAACATGTACAGTAAAAGGACAGCAAACTCACAATTATTAACAACCATACCTAAAGCAAAACCAAAAGAAACTAAGCAAACAACTGGAACAGGAACAGAACCACAGAAATGAAGATCACATGGAGAGTTAGCAACGGGAGTGGGAGGGGGAGAGGGGGGGAAAGGTAGAGAGAATAAGTAGCATAGATGGTAGGTAGAAAATGGACAGGGGGAGGGTAAGAATAATATGAGAAATGAAGAAGCTAAAGAACTTATAAGTATGACACATGGACATGAATTAAAGGAGGGGGAGTGGGTGGGAGAAGGTGTATAGGGTGGAGGGGCATGAAGGGGGAAATGGGGCAACTGTAATAGCATAATCAATAAAATATATTTTTAAAAAATGGAGATATAAGGATGTTATTTAAAGTCACAAACACAACTAATGAAAGTACTAAAATTAGCCATGTGGCTATAGAGAAGAGAAGAGAGACGCGCATGGATACTGGAATCCTCATTCTGTTAGGAAACTAGTAGGAAATGTTTTCGAAATGGAGACGCAGTCATGGCAGGCTGTGGCAGAGATGTGCAGGCTAGTCACCTGGAGAACCAGAGACAGAGGGTAAAGAGTGGTTCTTCCAATGACACGGGATTGGAGGGGGGCGGGTTTTTTCTTTTCATTTGATTATATAAACTATGTGCACATTTTGATACAGCATCATGATTAGATAATCAACTGTTGATACACGACAGGAGTAGTGTATGTTCTGTATCTAGACAAAGTAAAAAATAACAGGGCTAACAAAAGTTTATCTTGGATACTCAAGAGTCAATCAGCAATACTATTTCTAGTGACAATTAAAACCTGTCAATTTCTTTTCTTATATTGAGACCATTGTTTGTGTATCTGACTTAAATTTTTAAGTGTTTTATAGATTTTCTATATGGAGTGTCAGTTGGTGTTCTTTCTTAGCAAAAGCTTTATATTTTTAGTTGGTAATTCCCGTCTTTTTATCTTTTCAACTTAGAAAAGGAATCTCTTGTTGGCATTTGAAGCAGCCGAAAGTGTAGGCATTAAACCCAGCCTGGTAAGTAACCCCATTTTGTATCCTTGCCACACTTTAGTCTAATTATACGAGGAAGAGCTTTATGCTACCTACTGACAGTGTCTTACAGAACACGAAAATCCATTTGTTCAAGGTGTGTTACTCATGATCCTGAATATACAATGATCCAGTTGGTCAGACCCCCTATGATTTAGAGTTTTTTCCATTAAGATTCATTGTGGGCTTTTTTGCAATGGGTTTGCCACCAGAACACAGGTGTCGAGAAAACCACCACTAAATCAAAGCCAAAATGGGAAAGGAAAAGACTCACATCAACATTGTGGTTATTGGACACGTAGATTCCAATACGTCTACCACTACTGGCCATCTGATCTGCAAATGTGCTGGGATCGACAGAAGAACCATAGGAAAATCTGAGAAGGAGGCTGAGATGGGAAGGGCACCTTCAAGTATGCCTGGGTTTTGGATAAACTAAAAGCTGAACGTGAGCGTGGTATCACCATTGATATCTCCCTGTGGAAATTTGAAACCATCCAGTATTATGTGACCATCATTGATGCTCCAGGACACAGAGACTTTATCAAGAACATGATTAAAGGGACATCTCAGGCTGACTGTGCTTGCTGCTGCTTGTGCTGTGCTTGATTGTTGCTGCTGGTGTTGATGAGTTTGAAGCAGGTATTTCCACGAATAGGCAGACCAGTGAGCATGCCCTCCTGACTTACACACAGGGTGTGAAACAGCTGATTATTGGTGTTAACAAAATGGATTCCACTGAGCCACTCTACAGCCAGAAGAGATACAAGGAAATCATTAAAGAAGTCAGCACCTACATTCAGAAAATTGACTACAACCCTGACAGAGTAGCATTTGTGCCAATTTCTGGTTGGAATGGCGACAACATGCAGGAACCAAGTGCTAATATGCCGTGGTTCAAGGGATAGAAAGTCACCCATGAAGATGGCAGTGCCAGGGGAGCCACACTGATTGAAGCTCTGGATTTCGTCCTGCCACCAACTCATCCAACTGACAAGCCCCTGCATCTGCCTCTCCAGAATGTCTATGAAATTGGTGGCATTGGTAGTGTCCCTGTGGGCCGAGTGGAGACTGGTGTTCTCAAACCTGGCATGGTGGTCACCTTTGCTCCTGTCAACATTACAGCTGTGAAGTAAAGTCTGTTGAAATGCACCATGAAGCTTTGAGTGAAGCTTTTCCTGGGGACAGCGTGGGCTTCAATGTCAAGAACATGTCTGTCAAATATGTTCATCATGGCAGTGTGGCTGGTGACATCAAAAATGACCCACCAATGGAAGCTGCTGGCTTCACAGCTCAGGCGATTATCCTCAACCATCTGAGCCAAATCAGTGGTGGATATGCACCTGTTCTGGATTGTCACACCGCTCATGCTGCTTGCAGATTTGCTGAGCTGAAGGAGAAGATTGTCACTCTGGGAAAAAGCTGGAAGATGGCCCAAAGTTTTTGCAATCTGGTGATGCTTCCATTGTTGATATGGTTCCTGGCAAGCCTGTGTGTGTTGGGAGTTTCTCTGACTAATCTCCTCTGGGGCACTTTGCTGTTTGTGACATGAGACAGACAGTTGCTATTGGTGTCATCAGAGCAGTGGACAAGGAGCCAGCTGGAGCTAGGAAAGTCACTAAGTCTGCTCAGAAAGCTCAGAGGCTAAGTGAATACTATCCCCAATACTTGCCACCCCAGTCTTAATCAGTGTTGGAAGAACGGTCTCAGAACTGTTTGTCTCAATTGACCACTTAAGTGTAATAGTGAAGGACTGGTTAATGATTACAATGTATTGTAAAACCTTCAGAAGGAAAGGAGAATGTTTTGTGGACCATTTGGGTTTTTTGTGTGTGTGGCAGGTTTTTTTTTAAATATATTTTATTGATTATGCTATTACAGTTGTCCCATTTCCTCCCTTCTCTCCCCTCCACCCTGTACTCCCTCTCCCACCCACATTCCCCCCCGCCCTTTAGTTTATGTCCATGTGTCATACTTATGAGTTCTTTAGCTTCTACATTTCCCGTACTATTCTTTCCCTCCCCCTGTCTATTTTCTACCTACCATCTATGCTACTTATTCTCTATACCTTTTCCCCCTCTCTCCTCCTCCCACCCCCCTGTTGCTAACCCTCCATGTGACCTCCATTTCTGTGGTTCTGTTCCTGTTCCACTTGTTTGCTTAGTTTCTTTTGGTTTTGCTTTAGGTATGGTTGTTAATAATTGTGAGTTTGCTGTCCTTTTACTATACATGTTTTTTCTTTATCTTCTTTTCTCAGATAAGTCCCTTTAACATTTCATAAAATAAGGGCTTGGTGATGATGAACTCCTTTAACTTGACCTTATCTGAGAAGCACTTTATCTGCCTTTCCATTCTAAATGAAAGCTTTGCTGGATAGAGCAATCTGGGATATAGGTCCTTGTCTTTCATGACTTGGAATACTTCTTTCCAGCCCCTTCTTGCCTGTAAGGTCTCTTTTGAGAAATCTGCTGACAGTCTGATGGGAACTCCTTTGTAGGTGACTGTCCCCTTATCTCTTGCTGCTTCTAGGATTCTCTCCTTCATTTTTACCTTGGCTAATGTAATTATGATGTGCCTTGGTGTGTTTCTTCTTGGGTCCAACTTCTTTGGGGCTCTCTGAGCTTCCTGTATTTCTTGGAAGACTATTTCTTTTGCCAGATTGGGGAAATTCTCCTTTATTATTTGTTCAAATACGTGCTCAGTTTGTTGCTTTTCCCCTTCCCTTTCTGGTACCCCTATAATTTGGATGTTGGAATGTTTAAAGATGTCCTGGATGCTCTTAAGCTTCTCCTCATTTTTTGAATTCTTATTTCATCATGCTTTCCTGCTTGGTTGATTCTATCTTCCTTCTGGTCCACTGTATTGTTTGGAGACCCAGTTTCCTTCCCTTCACTATTGGCTCTCTTCCGTGTATCTTCCTGCATCTCTTTTATGGTATCCTGCATCTTTTCATCTAATTTGCTCCCAAAATCAACCAATTCCATGAGCTTTCTGATCGCCAGTGTTTTGAACTGTGCATCTGATAGGTTAGCTATTTCTTGGTCGCTCAAAAGGATGAGTTCTGGGGCACTGATTTGTTCTTCTATTTGAGCCATCTCTCTCTCTCTCTTTTTTTTTGGTTTGGTCGCTCTTGTTCTGGTGAGGGGCGGAGCCTTCGGTGTTCACCAGGCTGGGCACCCCAGTTGCTAGATTGTGACGTTATATGTGGGGGTGGGGGCGGGGGCGGGAGTGGGGACGGGAGAAAACAATGGCAGTAGTTCTGTTCTCCTGGGATCTCAGTCCCTCCTCTGGGATCCTGGGTTGCGCACTCAGCCCTGGTCCACAATCGCCGCCTCACTGCCGCAGCTTGCGTACTCAGGGACCACCACTGTGTTCTTGCGCACTGGATGGCTTTCACGGTGATTTCGCTCCAGGTTTTCCCCGTCCTCCACACGCCGCCTACCCGCGCCCGCCTGGCTCATCCTCTTGGCCCCACCTACCAGTCTGGAGGTACGGGTCTACTTCAACTTCTTGGCTGTCCGACTTCCATTCAGATAAATCCTCTATCAGTTCTGAGTGTTATTCTGGCTGTAAATTGTTGTTGTTCTAACCTTGGTTGTGCAAGGAGGTATGGTGCATCCACCTATTCCTCCATCTTGCTGGAAGTCCTGCAGTTTTTAAGTCATTAGTTTTTAAAATCAGTATTTTTTAATGAAAATGACCAAAATCTGTCACAGAATTTTGAGACCTATTAAAACAAAGTTTAATGAGAAAAAAAAAGATTGATTATGGATGTATTTCAGTTCTGGAAACAATGAACTGAATTATCAATAAAGCCCTCTTGTTCAAGTCACCTGGAAATCTGAATGACGTGTAATTTTTAAAATGTCAATACATATCCGAGCTCTGAAGGAAGAGTGGGAAAGAACCAGGTGCCAGACATGAGAAGAGAAGTACAAACCAGAGCCATGAGGCCTGAGCTCACACTGTGCCAGCCCCAGGCCAGGGCTAGAGGCCATGGCTCTAGACTGTCATGATGGATGTTACTTCACACCCACCCAGGAATAAGAGCATTACTATGGAGACCCCTGCACAAAACCAAGGCTCACAAAATGCAGCTGTTCTTATGAAAGAGGATATAAAAAAAAAACACCTGCTAGTCCAGGGAGGTGATAAGGAAGTTTGCTTTTCCCCTGTAAGAAAAGAAAACAGCCAGGTGAGGTTTGGAGTCCATAGTTGTGATATTTGTGCCACAAGAGGCCCCTAGTTTATACTATTATACTTCTGGTGCAGAAACCCCTTGGCTAGTAGTCCAGTGATTGCTGGAGAAATGCTCACAAGCCCAAATTACAGAACACCCAAAAAACTATCTGAGCTTGTCAGCAGACACCACAAACAAGAGGATCGTCTCCCAGAACTAGAGATAATAAAACAGTCAGAAAGAGACTACAAAAAGTAGGTTTAAACATACTAAAGAGATCAAAGGAATAGGAAGGACCATGTTATTATAAAAAAGATTTGGAAAAATAATCCAGTAAAAGTTCTGGAAATGGAAATTTAGAATTAAAAACACCAGTTGGATTGAAAACCTGATTAGATACAGAAGAGGAGAACTGGAAAATAGACCTAAGGAAATTACTCAGAACATAAAACAGAAACATTGAAAAATGGAAAATACAATAGAGGGGTTTTATGAGTCAGTGAATATTCAACTTCAAGAAATGGAAAACCCAACTAACAGTTGCTTAAACCAAAAAGGTGTTATTTTGAAAAAAGAAAATAAAAATAAATCCAGAAGTGGTTTCAGGCCCAGTTCAGTGTTGAACCCAGGACCCGGAGTGCCTCTTTTCTGTACTTCACCATCTCTGATCTGCTGGCGTCTTCTCTCCGCCTCAGCTGCTTGTTCTTCTGTGGTTGAATGTGGCTGCCAAGCTCCACACATCACTCCTTTCACCAGGGCAGGAAGGAGGAGAAAGGGGTAGAACAAGTTCCTCACATTTTCCCCCTTTGGTGAGGAAATCAAAAGACTTCCCAGAGTCCCCCCAGCTTGTTGGCATTACTCTGTCACAAGGTCACTCCAGCAGCAGGGAAGTCTGAAAAAGTGAGTGTACATTTTCAGCCTCTTTAGTGGGAAGCCTGCAAGGGAGAAGGGAGTTGGGAATGACTGTTGCGTATCACAGAGCTTAAGAGACATGGACAATGAATCAGATAGTGACTGTGTCCCATGTCAAGTAGGAATTCCAGAAGAAGAGTAAAGACAGAATGGTAGAGAGACAGTATTTGAAGAAATGGTGCCTGAAATTTTTCCAGAATGATGAAAAACTGAAGATTCATAGTGAATCTCAAACAGGATAAACTTGAATCATAACTAAACTTCAGAAAAAGTGAAGACAGATAATCTACAAATAATTTCTACTAACCAAAAATTTAAAAACAATCTAGTAGAAAATTGTCAAAGGCTAGAATAGGCAACTCACAAATCACCAATGAACATTTCAAAGAATGTTCAATCTCATTAACAATTAGGAAAATTGAAACTGAAATTTCACTGTAGTAAGACAAAATTCCATAACCCTCTGAGGTTGTAGGGCATCCAAGAAATGAAAAACTGAAAGTAAAGCTGTCACAGAAATTTCAGTACAATGAACAATGTTATACCAATATGTTTGAAATATAGCAGTTTCCTAAAGAAATATAAATATATTTCAAAGGCTCAATGTAAATATGTGTCTAAAACTTTCTCAGACATAAATAGAATTTTAACGATTAAAAGGTTGAATTCATTGTGTAAAATATAGTCACACACACACACACACACACACACACACACACAACCAGTAAGCCCAGATTCTACTAAACCTTCAAGAAAAAGATATCCGTATTATGTGTGTCTGAATCTAGAGAATTTAAAAAGTAATGAGAGGACTTACATATCTGGGCAGAATGGAGCATTAAAGACAGAGTGAGAACTTGCTAGAAGATTGTATTATATATAAGAATATACAAGAATACATTTTTCTTTGTTGTGTTACAGTTAATATTTGCTTTTTAATTTAACATTTTTCCTAATTTTCATCTAATGTACTTTAGCAAAAGCTGGGGAGACAATGAGATCATCTGTAGACCTCATTGTCAGAGCCAGCAATTCCATTTTTACAAATGTCTATGAGGATCTACTGACAAGCATAATTAATTTCAAAAGCACTTAGGAATGCTTGTGAAACATTTAACCAGTTTATGTCATCAACAAAACAGAAACTTCCTACATTATTAAATTTGCTTTTCAGCTCTGGCTGAGTGACTCAGGAGGTTGGAGCATTGTCCTGTAACTGAAAGGCTGTGGGTTCGATGTCTGATCAGGGCACATACTTAGGTTGTGGGTTTGATCTGAGGTCCAGGTACATGTGGGAAGCAGCCTATCAATACTTCTCTCTCACATGGATATTTCTCTCTCTCTCCCTCCATCCCCCTCTAAAAGCAATGAAAAATATCCTTGGGTGAGGATAAAAAAAATTTGCTTTTCAGTATCTTGATGTGGATTGAAAAATAGTATATTTAATTATGCATGATACTCTGAAAATACTTCCAGTCAGAATTGACAGCAATAATAATCCCAAGCTTTTGATCAAGTTCTATTGTTAAATTAGGAAAATAGCCACTTGTATGTGTATATTCAAGTAAGTATAAGTTTCTGGGTGTAGCATATTCATAAGGATTAAATTTTTTACAAGTGAAAGATCTACAGTGTCCCCAAAATTTTAGTAAGCGCTGCATGTCCACTGCAGTGTGACTCAGAGGGCTGGCTCATCATGGCGCATCTGTGGGCAGCACCTCACAGAGAGAACAGGTGAGAGGGATATTGTGCTGTTTCTGCCACTGTAAAAGCAGCCATAGTGTGTGCCCTGCAGGGTTTGGTGCATCCTAATGCGGGGACATTCCCACACCGGTCATCTGTCTGCTGGTGTTGGTGACTGAGTAAACCAAGGTGTCCACCAGAGCAGCCACTGCACACCCACGTCCAGGACTTCAGGCCTCCTGTGGGGAGATGCTTACACCTCAGGATTGTAGGAGGGGTCAGAATGTGTCCTTAGGCATAACTGGGCCACTCCATAGTATAAACCTTAGAAAGGGCACTTACAGGGTACCTTCAAGCTTGATCACAGGAACAGCACGTGCTTCACATCTCTGCGCCAGGCATTTATGTGTGCACACTCCCTGGGCCCACAGAGCCAGGTGCCCCTTACCAGTGGACAAGAGGCACGTGCAGGTCGAGAGAGATGAGCAGCCCCTGAGTGGCAAAGGCAGGCACTGGCCAGCGCTCTGACCCACTCAGGAGCCTCGCAGCCAGTACAGCCGAGCCACCTCTGGGCCCTTAAAGCACCATTTACTCGAAGCCCTGTGTGTTGCCCACAACACATTCTGCTGTAATTTGCCTGATTATAGAGCTTCTGTCCACCTCCACCCCAAGGCCATGCACTGCCAAGGGCAAGAAGGCTTCTCTCTCTTTTTTCTCAACTTTTTATATTGTAATAAAATACAAGTAACATGATCTAAGGGCCTATTTCTTGGTCTAAGGGCCTGTTTCTTGGTCACACTCTGCTGATTAATACAGCTTTATATGTCAGGAAATCGAATCTTTCGAATTGTTTTAGCTGCTTAGTACCTGTGCCTTTAGAATCAGTGTGTTGATCTCTCCCAAAAAGTTTGTTGGGAATTTTATTTGGATTATGTTGTAGCTGTAGATCAGATAGAGAAGACTTGACATTTTAACATGTCTTCATTATTTAGATTTTAAGTATATTTCATCAGTGGTTTGTAGTTTTCTGTATATAGATTCTGCACAGGTTTGGTCTTTTGGGTTTGTTTGTTTGTTTGTTTGTATATTTGTTTGTTTATACTGTTCTTCTTGTTCTTGTCATTCTTTTTCTCTCCTCCCCAGTCTCCTTCTTCACCTCTTCCACCTCCTGCTCTTTCACTACCTCTGCCTTCTCTCCCTCTTTTTTTAATCTTCTCCCTCCTTCCACTTTAAATTTGTCACGAATTCCAGTTGTTCATTGCTGGATAGGTAGGAAAACATTTGACCTTTGGATGTGGACTTTGTATCCTGAGACCTCACTAAACTTACATTTTAGTTCCAAGAGATTTTATTGTAGACTCTCTGGAGTTTTCTTCATATACAATCATGTCATTAGCAAATAAGGACAGTTTTATTGCTTCCTTTCTCATTTGTATGCCTTTTGTTTCTTTTTCTTGCCTTATTGCACTAGCTAGAACTTCCAGTACAGTGTTGAAGACAAGAAGTGAGAGAGACATTTTTGTTTTGTTCCTTTTTCCTGATCTTAGGGGGAAAGTTTTCAGTCTCTCATCATTAAGTGTGGTGTAACTTTTGGGTTTTGGTGTATTTTCTATAGTAGGTGAAATAAATTCCTTTCTATTCCTAGCTTTTTAGAGTTTTTATCATGAATGGTTGTTACATTTTATGTAATGCTTTTCCTGCATAAAGCATTGGAGGTAAGTTCACCATCTGTCTGTCTTGCATCTGTGGGCCTTCCTTAATTTCTCAGTGCTCGTGGTATAGAATTGAGCACCTAAATAGTTTGCTCAATTCTTGACTACTACTTTTTTGTATTGTCACATTAACAATTCCCCTGTTAATAAGATTTTTAGCTTTCCATGCATCAATCTGTGTGCACAGCCTTGACTACTGTATTTGAGGTAGGAAACTTTTTAGCTTTGTATTCTGTGAAAACTTTCTCTTTTTAAATTTTTCTAGATATGTGTGTGTAGAATGTTGCACTTACTCCTTCTCCATCCCTCTTGCACGACCAGTGATATGTGGGCCATTTTTTACTATAACCCAGGACCACCCTCAGTGGAATGTATTTCAATGGTATTGAAATGGGGGACAAATGTCTGGCTACAGCTCATTCTGTTGCTGCCCAGGAGCAGATGTGCTGGTTAGTTCAGCCTTATTCCTCCACTGTGTTTCTGTTTCTGGCTCTACGTTAGGGTCCTTTCCTATTGTTTTCTTGGGACCACAAAAGAATCCAAATGTAATCATAAGTGGATTATGAAATACATTAAGTAGCATACATTTCAGGAAACTTGACTGTTGCCTGGCACTTTCTGGCCTCTACTTTCTGCCTGCTTTGTTGCCTACTAAGTTAACGTTGAGTGATAACACCTAATTCTGGTGAAACAAATGGTTGCGTTTCAAATTGATTCAAGAAGTTGAGGTGTTTGCATTCTTGGGAACATCTTAAGGCACTAGTTCCACAGAAGGAAACAGTATGCACCAAAATGCTTATTGCAAAGTCTGTAATGTGAGGTGGACACACACTGCCCGCCTCGTCTGCCAGTGAGGGGTCAGCCGTTCCCTTGGAGAGTGCATCCACTGAAGGGACAGCCAGCGACACAGTGCTGCAGTGTGGGGATTATGTATGAAGATGCTCATGAGAAGCACAGAGCGCACAGGGTGTCCATGGTATTGGAGACAGACTGGGAGTCATAGGGAACTCAGAGAAGCAGAAATCCCTTTACAATAATGGAATTATGGGTGACTTTGTCTTCACACTTTTTTTAATGCTGCCATGTTGTTAAAAGATGCAGGGTGGGAGGTCATGTTTAATATTTTTTAAAAGAATGGTATCTCTAAATAAATAGGAAGAAAACACTTTTCTTTTAACTAATCACATTCCACACTGTGTTGGTGTTGCCTCCACCTGCCTCCTCGTGGGTGGAGTTTTTTGTGGCAGCACCAGCCCTGCCCTCAGCCTGGGCCCCTCTGTGACCCTTTCTTTCTCCTGCAGGAGCTCAGCGAGATGCTGCACACTGACCGTCCCGACTGGCAGAGCGTGATGCAATATGTAGCCCAGATATACAAGTACTTTGAGACGTAAACCCGAGGACCGAACAGCAGCTGCTGCCGCCGCCTGCAGTTTGTCCTGGAAGCGCCTGGTCACTTTCCACAGGCCCTGCTCCGCCTTTCAAGGGAAGGTCCAATCCAGCGGGTACCTACACATGAGCAGGAAATAGAGCTGGGTTCCCTGTGTTCCCACCTTGAATCTGGACACATTCAGAGGGAAGTTGGGGAAGCTTTGCTCTCCAGGGTGGACATCTCTAGTCACACTGAGTGATTTCCCAACAAGCTGCACCAAGACTTACAACAGACAGCAATGGACATTGGCCACCTTTTTACTAACAGTCCCAGCTTTTGCCTTTATAAAAACTTTGCCCCTTCTATCTATCACCTCCATCCAAAAAAGAAAAAACAACAAAAGACAGACGTGTGCCTTCAGGCAGCATGGGAACACACGGACCTGCCTTCTGGGAAAATGTGCTGATGTTCTAGGTGACAACTTCAGCACCCAGAACTTGGTTACATTTTCAGGTCTTTCTGTCACTCACTGGACTCAGTGGAAGGAAGGTGAAACATGTGAGAATTAGAATGAGCCCCTGGGTAGGTGGCCCCCATCCCTGTGGGGTGGCCGGCAGACAGAAGTGTGTGCTTGCGCATGCGCTGTGCTGGGATGCGGGCACCTGGAACTTCCGCACTCAACCTTCCGTGCCAGCTCTTGGCCTCCTCCACTCGGTCTGGCCTCCTGTTTACTCACACTCCAAGCACACCCAAGCACACTCACCCCATGTGTGGAATGGACAGAAACTGCTCATGTGCGGAGGCTGTGTCTGCTGGGGTCTTCGGGTATTTGTGCAATGAAACAAGCTGAAGATGCGTATTTCTTGGGATACTGGGCAGATGGCAAATTTAGACAATATTTCAATTTTAGACTTACATGGCATTCAGTACTGCATCAGGCCTTTCATGTTCTCATGGCAAAAGGAAGCCCTTGGGGATGGGCAGAGATGACTCTGTTTATAATTGAATAAGGACAGTGCAGTTCTCTACTGTCCTGCCATCACCCTAAGCGACAGCAGAATCCCCCTAGTGGCCCCATTCACTTCGGGAGTACTCTGTGCAAGTAACCACCTGGTGATTCTCTGTTCTTGGTGGGAAATAAGTGCACCTTATATAGAAGTGGGGTGTGGCTCACATAAGTGAGTCTGAGGTGAAGTCGTCTGAGGTGATGTGCGCACTGTGATGTGAAGGGGCCCATTACTCTGGGTTTGTGCCCCTCAGACAAAGGGTTGTTATTACCATAAGTCCCTGAGAGTCACAGTACTGCTGTCATTGCTTAAAGTAACACTCACATGGTGGTGGCCCTTGAGGGGCCTGGTTGCTGCAGGCCCAGCCACTGTCTGAGCTTGGCCCCTCCCTCCAGGCCACCTTTGTGGACTGGTCCTAGGGTTCTTCTGGTACATCCATCTTCCATCCTTCATGTCCTGCTTGTGGCTCTGCACTACAGTCTCCTGGCCTGCCCTATCAGTTGAATCCAGGTATCTGTATGGGACCAGGGACGTGTCCTGTGCATTGTCCAAGTTCCCAGATACACTGAGAGGCATGCAGGGTGGGCCAGGGCAGCATGGCACAGGGAGTGCTGAGCACTCTGGGGCGAGGATTTCCTAATTGGTCCTTTGTGTTCAAGGAGAAGTTGGAGGCACAGGCTGAACAAATTCCCCTGACTCCTCCTTTATGAATGTACCCAAACGAAAGTTACCGCTTGTGCTGCTTCTTGCATCTGTCTTGTTGATGTAACTGATATATTTCCCGTGCTTCTGGGTTGCTCGCCATTACAGTGGGGGAAAGGAACATGCCAAGTAGTAGGGTGGGGGTGTTGGTGGCTGTGTTTATCAGGAATTACTATGAGTCTTTGTGTGTGGGAGACACTGAGGTCTTGGATGCCTGCACGGGCATTTGGCACGATCAGCGCCCTGTTTTTAGTGGTTACCATGAATGATTCAACACCAGCTCTGGGTCAGCAGTCTGGGCCTGCCCCCTCCCTCCCTGCTGGTGCCTGCTCCCTTCAGGTTAAAAAGAAGGAAAGAAATGTCCTACATAAGGAAGACCATGTGGCGATTTATTTTTATAATTCAAGGGAGTTCTTTTACTGCCATTTTCTTTGCTGGTGGGCATGCAAGGAGAGGAAGCATGTGTCCTGTAAGAGAAATACAGGTGGTGTGGGGTGAGTCTGGCCCTGCTGGGTCCTGAGAGGGGACTGAGGTGGCCAGAGTGCAAGGTCTGGCCTTCTAGCCCTGGAGGGTTGGGGAGCAGCTGTTCCAGACCAGGCTAGGCCACAGAGTGGGGTTTTTAGGTCCGTTTGAAATTAGAGAGCCCAGCACAGAGTGAAGGTGGAAAATTGACATGCTGAGAAAATGAGGTAGTGTCAGCAAGCTATAAGCTGTATCCTTTCCAGTTTTCTTTCCTGAGGTTTTCAGAGGCTACATGATTCTCCCCAACTTCCTTCAGCCAGTACTAATAATTTAAAACTGTTTGGTGGTTCTGCAGATCCCTTTTTAATGTATTGTTTTTCTATAAAAGACACGTGCAAAGTGCAAGACCCAGAAGAGTGGAATTTTTAAAGGATGTAAAGAGAAGTCATGGATGGGTCCATGCATTGCAAGTTGTTTCATGAACTTGAACTTTTAATGACCTGTGATACTGTGCCAGCCCCTGTCTCCCTGGGCAAATTCACACTTCTTGCATCTTTGTCCCTTCTCACTTCACAAATGATGCTAGCCTTTGGTTTCTGTTCTTCATTCTGTTGCTCTGCTGTAGCTTTGTTGAGACCATCTGAAGTGGATGCGCAGGTGTTACACAAAATGCACTTCCCAAAGTAATTAGCCACCTGGCCATAAGGTCTGTCTGCAGCTGCCTGTGTGTTCTCTTCCCCTCCCACTTCCCCACCAAGGGCAGGGCAGGCCTTTGCAGGTGTGTGGAATTAGAGGATCCAGGTCTGTAAATACAAACCCATTTACCAAATCCAGCAGCAGTTCTTCCCATCCCAAAGCTTTAGTGCCATGTTGAGATGAACTACCAAGGACATGCAGTGAAGCGTGTAAACACAACCTTTTAAAGGTGTTTTTAATATCTCAGTTGCCCAAGTTCATCTGGTGTTTCCCTTCTCTGACCCAGGTTAGAGTCTGGCTGTAACATCCTGAGTAGCTCACTAATTTTAACTACATTAGTTGAATGCCATTGATACATCTGTAGCCTTGTTTCTGCACAAAGCACACCAGACTGTACCAAGCATTCTCAGGATACCATGTGCCAACAGCTGTATTTAACTATTGACATGAAAGTGTATGAAAAAAAGTGTATGTATGACTGTAATATTTCTAATAAATATATTTTGTCTGTGATTATGACTTTTTCACAGTAACATTTATTAGTATTTTCTCAAATTGCCAAGTTTACCTTCAGTCTGTTTTCAGCCAGTATCTTTCTGTCCTTATTCCTCACTGGGCAGTGACCCCCAACCCCCTGCAGCTGTTCTTTGCTGGCATTACTACAAGGTACCCGAAAGTACTGGAGTCCTGCCATTCCTCAGCCTCCTCCTATTCACAGCCCTCTTGCTGTGACTATGGCTTCTTGTGAAAATCATCCTTCCGGGCCCAGCAGGACGCTGCAGAGGTGCTCACGGCAAACACCCATGCACAGGCCACCCTACTCAGGGATCAGATGCTCACGAACATTGGAAACCACACTGTGAGGTGTTAGGCTGGAGGGGATTATGTCAGGATTAAAGGGGCAGCCCTGGCCAGGTGCCTCAGTTGAAACGTCCTGTACACCAAAAGTTTGCAGGTTCAATCCTCAGTCAGGGCACATACCTAGGTTGTGGGTTCAATCCCTGGTCAGAGCATGTACAAGAGGCAACCAATGGATGATGTTTCTTTCTCTTCTTCCTCTAAAATCAATAAATATATTCTTTAAATTTTTTTACAAAAAGACTGAGGCAGAGTTGGTATGAATTTCAGTGGATAGGGGATGCCTGTGTGTTCTGACACCAGTGTGTTGTACATACTGATTGATCAGGGAGTATGGCTATTGAGGGGCCTCTCAGGGGCTACATTCACTGGGGTCTTAGGCAACTAGCCATGCTGGAAGCTGCCTGTTCTAGAATCATTACTTCTCCCTCCCCCTTGAAGGGAAGCAACACTGTCCCTGGTCTCTCTCCTCAGAGCTCTGCATTTTATCGGAGTGGCCCAGTCTCTGCCGAGAGCTTAGCGCACTGGCCAGGGCATGAGTCACCATTCCCTTTCCTGGGTGGGCTGACAGGTGGTGGCACTGTACCCAGGCAATGACAGGCTTTATTGGTCCAATATCTGATTACCTGCAGCTGTGTTCAGCTGCTCAGTCTGTGCACATGCATGCACACACAGTCACGTTCACACATGCACACACAGACACTTGGTGGGCAGCCAGCATCTCTGCACTTGCACATGGATCCCTCCCATCGTTTCCCGTTGTTTAGGGCCCATCAGGGAGGTCTGGACCCTCTGAACAGCACATGTCTCCAAACATTCGTGTACCACGTATTTTCATGGTTGATACACGTTCAACCAGGTATCAGTCAAGAGATTCCAACAGTGCTGAAGCACTGTGGTGTCTGTTGCCACGTCTGTGGATGGGCTCTGAGCTGTGATGGAAGACTGGCAGTTCCAGGCCATGGGCCTCAGCCCCTCAGCCCATGGTGTGCAGCTGGCCCTTCTCCTAGTGCTGGGACGCCCCCTTGCTCCCACACCTCCTCGCTTCACTCCGCTTCCTGAAGGCAGGGCCAACATCTTCACATGCTCACTATACCTCGGCCTTCTGTATGACTGTTGCTGGATAAATCATTGTTGCTTAATTGGTGAAAACATCCAGCGACACTGAACTCTCATTTTGAGTTGAAATTCCCTATTTAACTCTGGGGAACAGACACCTTGGCACCCAGCTCAGGCTCAGTGCTGAGATCAGTCTGGTGGTCAGTCGTTTCCAGCATTTTCCAGCTTGATAGTAAAAATCCTAGAACTGCAAATGGAAAGACCGTTGGAAAGAAACTTGAAGATCTTTATCATTGTTTCCTTCTGTTTTAAAAATATTTGTATTGAATTTATTAGAGTGACACTGGTTAATAAAATTATATAGGTTGTGGGTATACAATTCTACAACACATCATCTCTGTATTGTACTGTGTGTTCGCAATTCTCAAATCAAGTCTCCTTCAGACATTTGTCCCTCCTTTACCCTCTTCTACCTCCTCCCACCCCGCCTTTCCATCTGGTTATCACCCAACTGTTGTCTGTGTCTATGAGTTGTTTGGGGGGATTTGTTTGTTTGTTTTTTTGGGGGGGTTGCTTATTTCCTTCACCTATTTCATGCAGCCCAGCCCCCCAACCTCCCTCCTCTCTGACAGCAGTCAGTCTGTTCTCTGTATCTATGAGTCTGTTTCTATTTTGTTTGTTAATTTTGTTCATTAGATTCCACGTACAAGTGCAATCATACGGTATTTGGCTTTATCTGACTGACTTATTTCATGTAGCATAACACCCTCTAGGTCCATTTATGCTGTCACAAAGGGTAAGACTTTATTCTTTTTGTGGCCAGTAGAATTCCTTTGTGTAAATGTACCACACTTTTTTATCCACTCATCTCCTGATGGGCACTTGGGCTGCTTCCAAATCTTGGCTATTGTAAATAATGCTCATGAACCTAGGACTGCATATATTCTTTTGACACCTGAGTCTTTCAGGTTCCTTTGGATAAATTCCCAGAACTGAGATCACTGGGTCATGAGGCAGTTTCCATTTTCAGTTTTTTTTAGGAAACTACACTGTTTCCCACAGTGGCAGCACTAATCAGCATTCCCACCAACAGTGCATGAGGGCTCCCTTTTCCCCACATCCTCTCCAACACTTGTTATTTGTTGATTTATTGATGATAGCCATTCTGACAAGTATGAGGTGATATCTCATGGTGTTTTTAAGTTGTATTTCTCTGATAATTAGTGATATTGAGCATCTTTTTATATGTGTATTGGCCATCTGTATGTCCCCTTTGAAGAAGTATCTATTCAGGTCCTTTGTCCATTTTTTAATTGGATCATTTGTTTTTTGGGTGTTAAGTTGTATAAGCTCTTTATAAAAATTTTGGATATTAACCCCTTGTCAGATGTATTACTGGCAAATGTGTTCTCTCATTCAGTGGATTGTCTTCATTTTGTTGATGGTTTCCTTTGCTGTGAAAACAGTTTTTAGTTTGATGTAGATCCTTTTATTTATTTTTTCTTTTGTTTCCCTTGTCCAGGGAGATATATCAGAAAAAATTCTGCTATAAAAAATGTTTGAGATTTTACTGCCTATGTTTTCTTTCAGGATTTTTATGGTTTCAAGTTACAGTAAAGTCTTTGATCCATTTTGAGTTTACTCTGTTGTATAGTGTAACAAGGTGGTCTAGTGTTTTGTTTTGCATGTATTCAATTTTTCTAACATTTCTTAAATAGAAGACTATCTTCACCCCATTGTATGTTCTTGCCCTTTTTTGTCAAATATTAATTGAACATCAAGGTGTGGGTTTTATTTCTGAGCTTTCTATTCTGTTCCATTGATCTATATGTCTGTTTAATGCCAGTATCAGGCTGTTTTGTACTGTTGCCTTGTAGTATAGTTTGGTATCAGGTGGCATGGTACCTGAATTTTTGTTCTTCTTTCTCAAGACTGCTGAGGCTATTTGGGATCTTTTCTGGTTCCACGTAAATTTTTGGAATATTTGGTCTAGTCCTCTAAAGTACGCTATTGGTATTTTGATAGGAATTGCCTTGAATCTATGGATTGCTTTGGGTAGTTTGGACATTTTAATGATGTTAATTCTTCCTGCCCATGGACACGGTATGTGCTTCCACTGATTTGCATCTCCTCAACTTCTTTCTTCAGTATCTTATAATTTTCTGAGTACAGGTCTTTTACCTCCTTGGTTAAATTTATTCCTAGGTGCCTTTTTGTTGTTGTTTTGTTGTTGTTGTTGCAATTATAATTGGATAGTTTTCTTAGTTTTTCTTTCTGATAGTTCATTATTGGTGTATAAATATGCCACTGAATTCTGAATATTCATTTTGTATCCTGCTAGTTTACTGAATTCCTTTACCACTTTTAGTAGTTTTTGGTGGGCTCTTTAGGGTTCTCTATATACAGCATCATGTCATCTACAAATAATGACAGTTTTACTTCTTCCTTTCCAATTTGGATGCCTTTTATTTCTTCTTGTCTGATTGTTGCATCCAGGACTTCTAGTCTGTGTTGAATAATCAAGTGTTGAAAGAGAACACCCCACACTTGTTCCTGATCTTAAGGAAAACACTTTTTGTTTTTGCCCATTCAGTATGATGCTAGCTGTAGGTTTTTCATATATGGCTTTTAGTATGTTGAAGTATATTCCCTCTATTCTGAGGAAATAGAGGGTTTCCTCTATTTTGCTGAGAGTTTGTTTTCTTTTTATCATAAGTGGGTGCTGGATTTTAACAAATGCTATTTCTGCTTTTATTGACATGATCATATGATTTTTATGTCTCATTATGTTTGTATGGTATATCATATTTATTGATTTGTGGATATTGGACAAACAAGGTTAGCTAGGTTGATGGAGACTCAGGTATAGCCTCCACATGCATGTGCAGGCTTGGTGGGAGTGGGCTCAATGAAGAAACAATGGCCTCTGCCTGTACTTTTGTCTGGCAGAAAGCTGCCCCCCACCTCCTGCCCTGATGCTGGACACTTGAGTTCCTCCCCGTGTGTCTCTGGTTTCTTTTACACTGCTGCTCCTGTGCTGGAGCTCAGAGGGAGTGAGTCCATGTAAGTCCACACATGGGCCCTTTAAGAGGAACTGCCTGAAACTTGGAGCAGCCTTCTGTCTCATTCAGCCATCATCCCTGCTGGTTTTCACAGCCAGAAGTTATGGGGACTTCTCTTCCCAGCCCTGGAATTGTGGGCTGGGGAGTCTGGTGTGGAGCTGGGACCTCTCACTCCTCAGGGGGGACTGGGACCTCCACAGCCAAGATATTCCTCCTGGTTTATATCTGGAGGCCACAGCCCATTCTGCATCACTACCCCTTCTACCAGTCTGGATGTGGCTTCTTTTTTTCCTTAGTTATAGGACTTCTGTTCAGCCAATCTCTGGCAGTTCTGAATGATGATTGTTCTGTAGGTCAGTTGTAACTTTGATATGGTTGTGGGAGGTGGTAAGCACAGTGTTTTCCTACCTGCCATCTTGGCTGGAATTCTGGAAGAGGTTCAATAATTTGATCAAGATAACTTAGGCTGGAGAAGGCAAATCAAGATTTGGAACCCAAGCCATGACCAGTGTGCTTCAGTGGGTTC